CCCTGTGCAGTGATTTCCGGGGAGGGTATGCCCATCGCTGCCGGTCCATATTCGTGTCCATAACGCTTTATCCAGTGATGAACTTTGCTGCCTATGCATTTGCACCGCCAATATTGGTCACGCCATTAGGAGCATTAAGTGTGATCATTGGGTGCGCGGGCTTGCTGCTCCCTGTTGCGACCGGGTTCTGACCGCTTAACCAGAGCTGTCCTCGCGTCCATCTTCCTCAAGGAAGAGCTCGGCCCTCTCGGTCGGGCAGCGTGCGCATTATGTCTTCTGGGATCCCTCATCATTGTATTACATGCGCCAGCCGACAAGGAGATCGAGACAGTCGATGAGATCCTGCATTATGCACTTCAGCCAGGTGCGCATATTCTGATCCCCATTCCGCTCGGTGCTAACCGTGCTGCAGCATTCCTCTTCTATTGTCTGGTGTCCCTGGTCACCTGCATCGTATTTATATACGTTCTGGCGCCCAAGTATGGCAAGAAGACACCCATCGTATACCTGACAATCTGTTCGCTGGCTGGTTCTGTTTCCGTCATGGGCATCAAGGGCTTCGGTATTGCGTTGAAGCTCACCTTCGCCGGTAACAACCAGCTCACACACCCGAGCACCTACGTATTCGCAATCATCGTTGTGGTCTGCATCCTCGTGCAGATGAACTATTTCAACAAGGCATTGGATACCTTTTCCACCAATGTGTACGTGGACCACCGCGCAACTGGGACCTGCGTACTGATGCTTCCACAGTGTCAACCCGATCTACTATGTCGGCTTCTCGACAGCCGTGATTTTTGCATCCCTCATCCTCTTTCAAGGTTTCAACACCTCAGACGGTGTCAGCATCTCATCGCTGATCATCGGATTCATGGTCACATTCATGGGTGTATACCTATTGAACCTGAACCACCAGCCTGAGTACCCAGATCCGGACCTCCCGCATGTCCCGCTCGAGAATGGTCTCATGAACCCGCGCCTCAGTGTATCAGGTCGGATATCCTTGGAATCGAACTGGTCAGGCGAGCGCACCCCGCATGGCCGGAGAGGCAACGCGGGCTATCGCGTACATAACGGGGGAGCGGGGAGCGGGGGCTGGGGTGTGAGCAATGGGAGTATCTCACAAGAGCCGCAGGATATTGGTCTAGAAGACCTGCGGGAAGAGGAGGAGGATGAGTCGGAGGGCGATGAGATGACGTTGTTGACCGCGAAAGACCGCGAGCATCGGAGAGAGGAGCGGCGACGGGAGCGGGAGGCGGATCTCGAAGCTGGCCAGAACGGCGCGGCGTTGCCGAGCACACCGAAGTCGAACGGTCGGACAGCTGTAGGACGGATATCATAGCGCTGTACATAGTGCGTCGCGGGCCGGCGGTCTGTATACCTGTATACCTGAAATGGACTACTTATCCTGCTACGGCCTAATGTCGGAATTGCTTGATCCGGCTACCGAGGTCGTCCATAAGGGTGCACAAGGCGCCCCCGGGTAGGCCGTCATCAACCCTGACGTCGAGCACGCGACCAGCGCTGGCACATGCATGCTTTCCACCACGGCCTTTCGATCCTTTGTATTATATACCTCTCTACGTGCAAGATCGCGCTGTAGCTATTCGATCCGCCTTGCGAGCACACTGGTCGACATGAAGTCTAAGACCGTCGAGACGTACGGGCGGCTGAGGGTGTTGCGGGAGTTCATGAAGCGGCCGGAGAACAACGTGCAAGCATAGTGTGTTTGTCCCAGAACGATTGCTAGGATTGCACTGATCCAACAATAGCGTGGTACCTTCACAAGATCAACGTATGTCTGCAGCTTATGACCGCACGATATGTAATTCATCAGAACGCAGATGCGAGTGAATACCTGGCCGATTGTGACGCACGACGAGCGTTTATCTCTGGCTTCACCGGCTCTGCTGGTGCGCCGTTTGTTTCAATGCCACCGCTGCTGGAACTGAACGTTTATTAGGCTGTGCGGTAATCACGCTGGATAGCGCCCACTTGTTTACGGATGGGAGATATTTCTTGCAAGCCGAACAACAATTGGACAGGTGAGCAACGGTTCATGCTTCCGATTTGGTGCTGACCTCGTAGCAGCAATTGGCAGTTGATGAAGCAAGGCTTGAAAGGTGCGTAACACTCTGGAGATGAAGAAGTATCCTGTTGACCGCGACGCAGGAGTGCCCACATGGCAAAAGTTCCTATCGGAGGACCTGCCGAAAGGTACGAAGATTGGAATCGACCCGACTCTCATTTCTGCGGAGGATGCGCGGGTGCTACGGGAAGACCTGGGGAAGAAGGATTCCAGCCTTGTTCCCCTCACTTGGAACATTGTGGACAGAGTTTGGGCAGAGTCACGTCCTGAACGGCCCAAGAACCCGGTCATAGTCCATGAAGTACAATATGCGGGTCTGTTTTCCCCCCGAATACAAGTCTTTGGCGTCTGAACATCCACAGGAAAGTCTTCGTCGGAGAAGATCAAAGAGGTCCGAGAATATCTCACCAAGAACAACTTTAGTGCGATGGTGGTCAGCATGCTGGATGAGGTTGCTTGGCTGTTCAACCTGAGAGGAAGCGATATTGCGTTCAATCCTGGTATGATTTTTGTCCCCACCTCCTTGCCTGCTGCTGACACGATGTAGTTTTTTTTGCTTATGCGTTCATAACCGACAACAAGGCGGTTCTGTTCGTGGAACCAGCTCAGCTGACCGACGAGGTCCGTGCGCATCTTGGCCCTGAGGTTGAGATCCAACCATACAGTGACTTCTGGTACTACCTCGACGAGTACAAGAACGCCCTCCCGGAGAAACTTGAAAAGGCAATGAACCTCATATATGACCAGAATCTCTTTGACGTTCTTGCCGTAGAAGGTCCTCATTGGAGGAATGGCCAGCTGGGCTATCTCCAAAGAGCTTGAGGAGCATAATGTGGCGGTGGGTCGATCACCGGTGGCCGATCTGAAAGCCGTAAAGAACGAGGCAGAAATAGAAGGCTTCCGACAGTCCCACATCCGTGATGGTGCCGCTCTGGTACGTAGCCATCCGCATAGACAGTACAGGCCAGCCATCTGACCGGTCTCAGGTCCGTTACTTTGCATGGCTGGAAGAACAGCTGCAACAGCACAAGACACTGTCGGAAACGGATGCGGCCGATCAGCTCGAGAAGTACCGGTCGTGAGTGAGTCGGCTAAGCGATGTCAACAGCTGCTCAACGCGCGTAGTGAAATGGACCTATTCATGGGCTTGTCCTTTCCGACTATATCGGCTACAGGGTCAAATGGAGGTGCGCACGCGGAGTCGTATGGTTGCTGCAAATACTCAAGCCCGACCAGCTATCATTCACTATCAACCCGATCCGAAGGATTGCGCCATTGTAGAGCTAGACAGCCTATATCTCTGTGACTCTGGAGGTACGGTGTTCGACTATAGGCGCGTGGGTCACATCTGACGCATGTCTGCAGCACAATACAAGGATGGAACGACCGATACGACAAGAACCTGGGTAGGCGCCTGCTGCATGCTTCTGATGTCACCTGGCTTATGCTTGACAGGCATTTGGCACACCAAAACCCGAAGAGATCAGAGCCTTTACCCGCGTATTGCAAGGACACATGGCCATTGACATGGCCGTATTCCCTGAAGAGACCTCTGGCTACATACTTGATGCATTCGCTCGTCGTCCGCTTTGGGCAGATGGCCTCGATTATCGGCATGGGACGGGCCATGGGGTTGGCAGCTTCCTCAATGTGCATGAAGGGCCCCATGGAATTGGACAACGCATTGTGTTCAATGACACCGCTCTGAAACCTGGCATGGTCGTCTCCGATGGTAAGCACACCTTTCTCCCCATGGGTGCCTTTCTGACAGTAGCAGAGCCTGGATACTATGCCGATGGCCGCTTCGGGATCCGGATTGAGAACGTCGTTATCGTGAAGAAAGCAGAGACGCCTAATCGTTATGGGGATCGCGATTACTACACTTTCGAGCACGTGACAATGGTGGGTGGCGATAGACGGTACCTCTGCACCTCTCTGACCTCTCCCCAGTGCCCAATACAGACAAGCTTGGTGGATGCTTCACTGCTCACAAAGGCAGAGACTTCATGGTTGAATGACTACAATGCGGAGGTAGAGCAGAAGGTGCTTCCGTTGCTGGAGGCGAAGAGGGATGAGAGGGCAATCGCGTGGCTGAAGAAGCAATGCACTGCAATCTAATAAGCGTCTCGCGTATATACCCATGTAAACACAGTGAGCGGAAGTAGTACACGCGCCGATGGTAGAACAATTCCGCGTCCACGCCACAATGGCTTTCGAGCCACAACTTCCGGACCCTTCCGGAAGCAAATTGGACACAACAACGCGGGAAAAAAAAGGGAAAACAAGAGGAATCGAACACAAATCGTGACATTTCGACGTATTTCCCACATATTTAAGCCACAAAACTGCCAAAAAAGAGTAGACGCGATAAGAAGCGCTCGACTCAGCAAGGTGTAAGAAGATCGCCTAGTCCACATGCCCGTTCGGCATAAAGGCGCAAAGATACAGCCCCACTTCTGCGCAGACATGTTTCGAAGGGATAATACGCAGCACCAGCATCTATCGGAATGTGTGAGCTGAGTCTGTTCGCCAATGTTAGGCTATCATCTGGCGATTCGTTTCCAGGTGAATGCCAACCTTCACCAAGGTCTGCATTGTAGATATTTCGCCAGAGTCGAGGAGTAGATAATGCGACATCGCGCCATTTGCGACAGGTGGCGTTAAAACATTTCAAATCTTGTCCCAGGACAGCAAAGTCTTGATCGTCCTCCCATTTTGCAACCACTTGCTCGAATATGGTAGCGCCGACAAAACGCGGACCTTAGGACCCTGACGCGCTATTCTTGCACGGCTCTTTGCTCCGGGCCTCGTGTCGCCTCCTATTGGTTGCCTCAGTTCCCGGCCCGGTCTCCGCCGAAATTGCCGCTTGATTGCACTATACACTCATCGATAAAAAGAATAAAAATTCATTTGACGGGAGGGGGATTTGAACCCCCGACTGTTCGTGTAGCATATAGATTCTTCAATCCAATGTAAGACGAAAGTGATAACCACTACACCATCCTGTCGTTTCACCTTGACGCCATCCTGTCGTTTTACTCTGAGGTTCGTGCCGACCGGTTTAGATCTAAATGCTACAAACGTGTTCACGTAACTTCCACTGTTGATTGAAACTCAACTACTGTAGGCCTATTCTAGCCTCCTACTGCTCAAAGGTGCCCGTGAGCTGAATGTCGCGAGAGGATTTACCGATATACACGGTAAAGGTGCCGCTCGGGATAATCCAACTCTGCGAAATGACATCCCTACAATGGCGTTAGGCTCCACAGTTTGCAACAACACCGGTTGCTTACCAAATGCTGATATCCTTGCGCAAAAGAGTCATGGAAACAGTGATTCTTTCCCCGGCCTTGATCCAGACTCGGTTAAACTCCCTTAGAACCTTTGGCGGCTCCATGGCACTCTCCGGGAAGCCTAGATACAGCTGGGCGACCTCGTAGCCATCCCTCGAGCCGGTATTCGTAACTCTGAAAGTGATGGTGTACAACGTGTCCGAGAAAGAGGGAGGGCCTCCGGGGAAGGTCTGGTTAATATACGGGTTGTACGTCGCCGTGGGAGCCATCGACGTATCCGTTGTCCACCTTGCGTCGAGGTTGTTGGCCTCGTCCCTCTCGTAGACACCCTGGCCATAAATGGCCAGAGTGCTGTACTCAAAACTCGTGTAGCTCAAGCCTGACGCGCTTTTAGTAAGCGTCTGCAGTGGAGTCATTCAGCGTACCATAGCCGAACTCGTAACGTGGAACAAGTCCTTGAGCGTCAAACCACCGGTAATCGATCATAAGCCGCTCATAATAGGTGATCTGAGGCGTGGTCATGTTGCTCTCGTACATGACATCGGCCGGATAATCTCCCCGCTGCCTTGCAAGAGTGTACGGAAGACGGCCACTCGGGCTAACAGCGCCGAATAACACGTCAACGAGGCTGTTACCAGTTTCCTGTCCCGGAAGTCCGGCCCAGAGGACAGCAGTCACGTTCGGGTTGTCAATCCATTCTTCAAGCAAGACCGGGCCCACGGAATGTACAACCACTATGGTGTTTGAGCAGTAGGAGGTAGACGCATTGATGACCGCTTCCCCGCTGTGCCAGAGAGTTAGGTTGTTCCGGTCACCTTCATTGCCGTCGACGGTGATCTATGCAACCGGTCAATGCTGCCCCCTTTTCCAATTCATACACAGACATATTCTTCACCGCTGTCGGCATTGACAAAGGCAAGACAAATATCCGCTTGGCTGGCCACAGAGTTTATGGAGGCATAGTCGTAATCATCGAGGACACTCTCGATCATGGTGTCCGGTCGATTGCTGTAGACATACCATGTGATGGCCATGCTGGGGTCGATGAGGTATGGGTACTGGAATTGGTCAGAAAAGGCAACAGCATTCAGAAATGCTGACACACGTTCGCGCTCCCAGAACCCCAGCCCATCGCCAGTGTGCCTTGATCACAACCGCGGCTATCGAGCATGAGAATGATGTATCAAACCAATAACATTGCTTACTCCGAGCAGCTATTAGGTCCCTGTGGATTAGGCCCAGCGTCCGATCTGGTTTGAAGATGGATCAGATATGGGTTCCTTCTACCTGCAAGAAGCGTACGTACCCGAATATACCATACCGACTACGAAATGTCAGAGGTACGCCGCTCGGAACACTCTAAAGCATAACGCACCGATATTTGGTGACATCAACCGGTAGCACGCCCGTGTTCTTGAGCATGACAATCGACGCCGCTCCGATTTCGCGGATCAGTTGCCCGTGGTTGCCCATGACATTGACATGTTGGTTCACGAGCATTCCGTTCAAGTAGGTGTCCTATCACCTTAGTTAATCGGCATCGCGAAACATGGGAAAGCGTACAGACTTCGGTTTGGTAATTGAAATTTGGCACCCTAGTCAAATCTTGCCCGGTGAAGAAGAGGGCAGCAAACGCTAGCAGCCGAGTCAGCCCATTCTCACGTAGCGACTAGCGTTGGTACCCCTTGTCACCTGCCGATGCAACCGTTAGCGCGAACCTCAGGACAATTCCTCCTACGAACCATATCATCTACCCGAGCTTCCGGCACGGAGCCATTCATTACCGCGGTGATTAGGTTGGAGCCCCACCAAGAATACGTGGTATTGTCCGGGTTGCCTTCGTTCGGAAGACTTGCTCCTCCATTGTAGGACCCGGTGCCGAAATAATAGAAGCTCGGGCTGCGGCCACAGATCAGCATGGTAGTGGCATTGGAGAAGGGTGACTCACATATTCTAGGCAAGTTACATTAGAAAGGCAGTTGTACATCCCAACCTGAAATGCTTACCATATCTAGACCAGCGAGCGCCGTATCCACTCCGCTCCGCGCGGCAGCGGCATCACTGACGATGAATCCTTGGAAGTCCAGCTCTTCCTAGTACGTTCTCCATCGTGAGCGACTTATATGATAAGGGGAACTTTGGCTAACCTTAATGATTCCGTTTAAGAGTTTGGAGTTCTGGCAGTTCTGGCTTCATGTCTAGTATGTCAATGTCGCTCTTCCAGAGAGATTCGGGGTGACGAACGTTTGGTTGACCCTGGTAGAGTCGGCATGTCAGTATTGGGCAGGGCCGGGCATGTACAGAGTCTCTACTTGTTATACGAACACCTAATGGTCACATGATTAATGAGACTCATTGCGCATTAATAAGGACACTGACATAATTGAGGCTGCACCGGCCCTAATCCCTTCGGCAAACGGCCAGATCTTTCCACCGTTACTTCCCCGCAGGTCCCACACAGATATACTGACTCACATAGAGCTGAAGGCGCTGAGAGGGGCAGTCTTTCCATATGTAAAGGGACGTACCTCATGTGCGGTGCGATCATCGATATTTGAGCTATAGATCTGCTCCGAGCTGCTTCCTCCGCCTCGATAATGCTCTTGTTCATTGCCATAACTTTAACCGTTGACATCATTTGGCATTGACCGTGGACTTTCGCACTCACAAATGCTGATTCAAAATGAGCCGAAGTCTTTCTGGAGTGCCAAATACAACGCACTTTGACACAGGCAATTACGTTGTTATCTTGGATACCCAGAACGGTCTGGGCGGTGGCTACACCGGCCAAGTATGGATCTGCTCCGAAGCCCTCCCAGTTCCTACCGCCTGCCGCAACACGTCCACTACACATCTATCATCAGTCCCGAACAGAACCAGGGCGATCTGGGCCCGATCGCACTGACAGATTGGTCATGGGGCCGAAGATCATATTCACTCCTTTGCCCCGGTGCTCAGCCCCCATGGCAAAACCACGATCATACATGAGTTGCTTGTCCCAAGTGGCCGCAACATTGATCCCAGCAGGGCTGACGAATAGTGTGAGGCGGGGACACAGATACACCAGGAAGTCGGCGTACAAAGCAGACGCATAGTCAGTATCACGAACGCCCAGCGGACTGTCTTGGAGGCAGAAACCAGAGAAATTGAACCGCGGGAGCGACTGCGGGCGTCAGTAACTTCAGAGCGCCATGAACGAGGAGTCTTACACCCGTTCCGTCGACGCAAGGAAGATTGCCGCCAGCACCGGTGGTGATGTTGATCTTCTCGTCCAGAGTGAGCTGGGAGACGAGATCACGTGCACGAGCCACCGCAGACGCCCAGGGACCATCCCCGCTGACAGGTTTCGCGGGAACCACCTACAAAGCTAATTACGGATGAAGGAAATAGCAAGAGATAAGGACTAACAATCGGCGATATCCACTCTTCGAAGCCAGGAGGGGCAGCATCAGGAACACCGCTGACTATATCAGCGAGGGATACCGGCCATAAGGCGGCCAGCACAAGGCAAAAGAGCAGAGACATCACTTCGAAAGGACGCTGAAATTGATAAAGGGGCTCTGCTCGGCCTCTTATGGGCGGCCGCTGCGGCGCTCAAGCGGTACATCGGGCCGTAGGAAGAGAGCTGGATATCAGCTGGCAGCAACCGAGATGCATCAATATTCTTGATACATTCTTTCCCAGGGAGACAACACACCTTATAAGGCATCGTCCGAGATTTTCCAAAGCGGCGTCTCCAAAATTCAAGAAGTACAACACGTGTGGGAAGCTCGGAAGATGACGATGGATTGGGTGGAGGGTGCGCCAATGCGGTCTTTTGTCGGGAAGGGCTAACTGTGAGACCTTTCTCCGGATGCTGCAGAAGCAAACATTGGAGGTCTTCGCTCGCCCGACTCCTTCCTAATTGCATGTGGAAAGCATTCAAACTGAATGGAGCAATGAGTTTCACGTGGTCCTTTGCTGGCAGTTGGTCTCGAAGTGGTACAATGCGGTGGCCCAACGCAAGTCGCCACCGATGTCAACTGTTAGATTCCACCGTCGCGGTGGTCTGCTCAGACGACATCGTAGCAGAGCGGCTAAGGACAAGGAAACCGCCGGTACTGGAATGTATGAAGTGGATGAAGAAGGATCGGGAACAAAATAGACCCCTCCTGTCCAGAATTCACTTTCAAACTCCGACTCAATCCGACTCTTCCGGCACCATGTTCCCGTCCTCCGACTGGCGGGCGCTTCCCGACGAAGTCCTAGCAACCATATTCGAGCAAGTGGTCGCGAAATGGGAAGACGATCAAGACCAGGACTTCGCCGTCTTGGGGCAAGATTTGAAATGTTTTAACGCCACCTGTCGCAAATGGCGCGATGTCGCATTATCTACTCCCCGACTCTGGCGAAATATCTACAATGCAGACCTTGGTGAAGGTTGGCATTCACCTGGAAACGAATCGCCAGATGATAGCCTAACATTGGCGAATGGGCTTGCCTCAAACATTCCGATAGATGCCAGTGCCGCGTATTATCCCTTCGAAACATGTCTGCGCAGAAGTGGGGCTGTATCTTTGCGCCTTTATGCCGAACGGGCATGCGGACTACGCGACCTTCTTTTACACCTTGCCGAGTCAAGCGCCTCAGCTCGCGTCTACTTCATAGAGGTGCGGGACCTCTTTCGGACCCTTCCCGAGTTTGTGGACGACTATGACTTCAATAAGACCGATTAT